CTCATTAAAAATTAGAGCAGTAAATGAGATAGCGACAATATTCACAAATTCATCCTCAAATAATAGAATTGACATAATCATTATAGCACCACCTACATATATATAGTATTAGTTATAATATACATGAAAGTATGATAATGATAAGTTAACACTTGTTGTACCTTGGTAAACACTAATCATTAACCATTGGAAGAAGGTTTTCAGAGATAAGGAACGCCCCTAAAAACATTAAAATATTATTTAATGTATGCGTATTGATTAAAATAATAGATAAATTAACATATACCTTGGTCAATTCCTTATATAATTCTGGAAATTTAAATGCTGTTTCTTCTTGCACATCCCTATCCAACACCAGAGAGAATACCGGCGCCATGGTATAAATGGTAGAATACCCAACAACCAACCATCCCTATTTTAAAATAAATATGAATTAATTATATGGATTACATATGTGAACACTATATAAACTATAAAGATTTATTTCAAATAATAATTTTTACTTGATAAAGTGCGATAGGTGCAAAAAAGAATAATGCCGAGAATACTGCTTGTATGACCGATATTATTAACCCACGATGAATAACAAATTGTGCTAGTTTTGCTGATCTTTTATAGCTATTTCTACCATGCCATACTATATTAAGAAGATTAAGTTAAATATTTATAGAGGTAATATGCATATGTCGTCTGAAATTGCCACCTGTTTGAGGCCAAAATTAAGCCCCTTGAAATTTGATCTTCCAAGTATCATGTCGTAATTCCAGACGTGCTACTTGAGATGCCCGGTATGGCAATTCCAAGTAGGTGGTAACTTCAGACAAAATTTAAGAAAGTAATTCTAAACATACATAACAATTTAGTCAAGTAACTAAATTGTGTTATGGAAAAATCTGCTGCTAATGAAGCTTGTTTTCCTTCTTTTCCGACTATTCCAACTCCTATAATTTTTATGCGTAATTTAATAAGTATAAATAATAATAAATATAATAATATAATAAAATAATAATAAAATAAAGGCTTTATAAGACTTACCAACATGTGCTGCTTGAATCATACTAACGTCGTTACCACCATCCCCTATGCAGCATACTCTCTTCCCCGTGAATTCCATAATAAGTTTCGTAATGTCAGCCTATATAAAAAGAAAAATGAATATTCTGAAAATATAAATAGACTTTTTATGATCTCTTGATACCTTTTGAGTGGGAGAGCATCGACAAGCTACAACAACTGGTAAGCGTACAGCTACTTCAATGAATTCATTTTTGTAATGATCCATATAAAACTATAAAATGGTTATTTATAATATCTTGTAATTGATAAAGTATCATTATGTGAAATATACTGCTGTATATTTAAAACATAGATACCTGAATCGAAACACCATCAATCACTAAACAACTATCTTTTTTGCTTTGCAAGACTTCCAATTCCTCCACAGCTTCATTTGGGGAAGTCACTTTTATTTAAAGTAATTCCAACAGTGAAAAACTGTAAAGTTTTTTAACAATATAAATACAATAAATAACAATCTATTAAGCCTACCACGTGATATCTGATGTATATTTTGGCTTCGCGATACTAGCTTTGATGAAACGGCGATACAAGTAGCTGTCTCAATTTTATCTCCTAAAGTTAAATGATCATTATTAAATACCAAAATGAATAAATGTATCTCTGACTGAATTTATATATAATAATAACTGACCAGTCAACATCCAAATTTTTAACCCAGCATTTCTCAAGAGTTCTAATGTATTTTTTACATCATCTTGAAGTTTATCTTCTACACCAGTTACACCTAAAAGTTCTAGATCTCGTTCCAAAAGTGAAACAACCACTAATTGTTCTTGAGCTTTACGATCAGTTATGCTCACTTTTGCTTCATTAAACCTATAACATGTAATGAAGTTATTTAATACAATATTGATAAAAATTAATCTGAAAAAAATCTCATACCTTTCTTGAAATTCATTATAAGTATCTTCAGACAATTTCCTACGTGCAATAACTAGTGTTCTCAATCCTTCCCGAGCCATATTGCCACATTCTTCATCCAACCAATCATTATATTGTACAATTTTACTCATCACAACATCTGCACCCTTTTGATAAAACATTATTTCACCAGTAGCTTTATCTTTCACTACTATACCCATTCTTTTAGATTCACTTGTAAATGGGAATGTTTGAAGGATTAAAAATTCTAACACTTCACCATCCGGTGCACGTAGATGTATTTCGTTAATATCTCGAAAAACCAGTGTGAGTCCAACGTGTTCAGTCAAACGAACAATAGCGACTTCATCTGGAGAAGATGCTTGATATGTAATTGCATCAGTTTCTGGATCAATAACCGGTGTAACCTAAAATATGAAAGACAAATATATGTCGCATATACATCGAATTACTAGCTATTATTTGCATAATCAAACCGGCACTTTACGTATTACAAATTCTTACATTATGGCATAGTGCGAGTGCAAGTATAATATCCTTGACTCTAAAAGACATGTCTCTACGACCCTTACCGGTCATAGATGTAGAAGGACCAGCTACAGGTCATGAATATAGTATTAAAATAATATTAAAATAACGAATAAATAAAATTATTTAAAGAAAACTATCGTTACCTTTTGATTTTCCGAACGCACTTGCTAGATTAGTCCTAACTTCATCCCATGATTCATAATTGAATGCCATTGTTCCCATATGAAGCTTTTTAAGTTCCATATCTAATGATCGAATAAGGATTAATTAATGAAAGCTAATTTTTTTAAATTTCATTTATGTAAGTGGTTTGTAATTACCATTTTTTGTAAGAGTACCGGTTTTGTCAGATAAAAGATATTCGATTCGACCTAGTTCTTCGGGTATCGTACTGGTACGAACAATTGTATTTGGTATTTCCTTATCATTCATAAATTGATATGCATAAACAGATTTTCCCATATCTAAATTGACACGTAAACTAAAAAAGAATGATAATATTAATTTACATGAAATAACTAAATCCTATATCCTATCACAAATAAGCACCGTAGTTTCGCTTACTTACTATATTAAACTTTATATGCGTAATAAACTGTTTCACCAGGTTTTGGGTAAACTGAGAATGACGTTTATTCAAGAGAGGTGCTTATACGCAGTAGGATATAGTATAATGAATAGAAATTAGAAAACTTACCCAATCGGGATGATAGATGAAAATATAATCAAGAACCGGAATAAATAAATATACCAGAGACCACGAAAACCATTTAACGCGATCAACAATATAGAAAATATCAAAGTTACAACAAAAAGAATCTACCACCCACAACATATATTAAGTTTTTGTTAAATGATGATGCATGTTGAAATTTTGGCAAATATCATTTCGAAAATTCTTCAAACTTTAATGACCTTAGAAAGATTATTAATTTCTATATCCAATAAACCAGTTTTTGTTTCTGGATGGCTAGTATTCATTACTGCTCGCGTATCTTTGCCCGTATATATCACAAATCCGATAGCAGTACCAGACGCAAGTACTGTATTCATCCATAAAGTATTTTCTACATTAAGTGGTTCAATTTGAGGTACCTAAGCATGGAAATTTACTAATAAATTTCGGAATGATCTAAACATAAGGCCATGAAAGTAATTTATTGGTTCTTATATCCGGCTAAATCTGTTATAAAATCCCAGGTGAGGATTTTCTATATATATATATATAATTTTAAATATAAAATTTTTATATTTAAAATAAAAATCGAGTTGCCAAGTCACTTTTAAATTATTATGTGAACCAAGAAATTTAGTCTTGCATGGCCAAATAGAATATAATTTATTGTATTTAAACTTACTACATTGCCAGGTGACTGTCTCAAAAAGTTACCAATAAAGTTATGAATATCTTTTGCCGGAGGATCAGCTAACACAAAAATGTGTCAATAATGTATTAATAATATATTAATAATGATTGTATACTTAATAAAAACACTTACCGTATATTTCAGCGTCAACTGATAATAAACTTTCATCGGAATGTAGCTTTTGACAATATGGAACAGCAAGTCTAATGAATGTAATATATTACATAAATGTAATTACTAAATGATACCAAATTATAGGTAAATTTCAGGAATAGCATACCTCAATTTCCAGTCAGTTTCACCATCCAATTGGTCAGTCCTTATGAAACAAGCACCGCTCGCTTCAGTTGTACGAAGTAATATTACATCAGCAGGAACCTACAATAAAGTTGACCCAAGTTAAACACAAATAATAATAATAATGATAATAATAATAATAATAATGATCAAAAATGCAAGTAATAGTATATACTCTTTGGTCTTTGTGTATTTTAACCAAGTCGCCGACTCGAAGCTTTGAGCTTGGAACATTTTTTACACCATTTTCCCTTGTTAGTATCTGATATTTTTGAGAATTATTTTCTTGGTCTCTTTTATATCTTTTCCAATCATCATATGCCTCTTTCCCCATTGTAACAAGAATAACAAAACATAACGGACCAAAATACGTAAAGAGATAACCTAAATATATGATAAGAAATGTAAGATTTATTGAAGCATAAGGATATATATAATATTAGTAAAAATTATATTATAATTCACTTGCCAATTTTCAAAGGAGGAATAAATTGGGATAATGCCACCAAAAGAAAGTATAAATTGATAAATATATGAAACTATAAAAAAATATAGATGGGATTAGTATAATATCATAATTCGATATTTGAATAATTAAAATTTAAAAGTAAAATATTACTTACTTGTTCATAAAATACCAACGGAAAAAAAGTTATTAAATTGTATTTTTGGTTACGGATAACATTTGGTGGAAATTTCTTTTTTACTTTATCTATGATATGAAATTGAGAAAATTGCATACACATATTTCAAGCATAAATATATATGTATATTTAAAATTAAATTACTTGAAACATGGAATGAAATTGTCCTTGATTTTGAGGTTGGCGCTCTCATATTTAGAGGAACATCAGATGAAGATAATGGTGGATTACGTCGTCGATGCCTTGATGAGGAGGAGGAGGAGGAGCTTTCCTGAGGATAATATTATTGATCAAATATTTTTAATTAGAAAAAATGAACAAGATTATAATTGTTTTAGATATAAAAGAATTGGAAAATATTAGAAAGTCTTCTACTCTTTATCAAATCCGGGTAATTTTAAGGGCAATCTACGTAAAGGTGATATTAAAAGTAATCAAAAGACTTGGTAATCGAGAATATTATATTATATTATCCTATAAAATTTTTGGGGTAATAAAAAAAAAAATATATATATATAATTTTATTAACAAACCTCTGGCCAGTCTTCTTGAATAATTAATGGTACTTCGTCGTCACAATCAGAACTCCTTTTTTTTTGTCGGTTGTCCGAAAAGGGTATAATTGTTTTTAAAGCGATTGAAGGCTCCCTCACCATTTTTACAAAAAAGTGGTCAGGACCTGTTTAAAAGATACAAGTTTTGTAGTACCTTGATACCGAGAGGAAGGATTAACACATATTTATATTGCGCCGCCTGCAAAGCCATGTGACAAGATCATCGGTAATACAACGAATTTCTTTATAAAGAGTGACAATCAACTTCAAACTAGATGCTAGTGATATTTAGTTTCTTTCGAAACGAACACCGTTTTGTCATCTAAGCCTCAAAAACTTTATTTATACATTTGCTTAGCAAAGCTATTAGAAATTTGAGTCAAATAGGCATAGCCGTGATAATGTCCCCGGGTACCCTATACACGTATCCTTTAGGTTTTTTACATCTAAAACAATGTATTTTTTGACTTGATTTCTTTCGTGTTGTATCACGGATTTTTACACGTTATTACTGTAGCCATTTAATTAGGTCACTTTGTTTTTAACCTGCATTACAGTGAATTATATAAATAATGTATAAAAATTATGTTGGCATATATATTAAATATTAAGTTTCTAAGCCATTACACAATTTATGGATTTTTCAACGGTATTTATGAGTTGGATATTTTTCATGAATATAGAGCCCTTTTTTTTGCATATTAGAATTTAAAAATTACCTATATTAAATCAATGCCATATGTCCATTAGGGACTGTTTTTTCAACTGTCGCATAGCACTTTCCCTCGTACGGTACGGAGATACTATTCAATCGTTAATATTTTTAAAAGTACTTAGGCGCTACGAAATCCAAGCCACCCTCGTTGTAGTGAAGTGATTAGGTTCCATTAATAAAATTTCACTACGTATGTCAAGGGTTTTATTAATAAATCCCTGTATTAAGAGAATTTTATATAGATTTTGTATGACTAAAAAAGATATCGATCAGGGATGTCACGTTGCAGAAGTGTAAACAAGTTTGTCATAGCCAGATTTCGATATATAGAAGTTAGACTGCATCAATGATATCAATGTTTACTAAATAAACTATAACTTTCATTTTTATTATATTTTTATTTTCTTGTCTTCATTAAGATATGAACCTCTAACAAGTATGCCAAGTAGGGATACAAACTAGACACACCAAATTAGAAGCAGAAAGTGCCTACCTGAAGCATTAACGCACCAATTAGGGAGTTAAGAT